TAAGCAATCTCCTCTTGTTAGCGACCACCTTTTCAAAATTTCAAAAGTTTACAAGTCAAATCATTATGGTGTAACCTTGGTAAGCGACCACTTTAACAGATGCTTATTTACAATTTTCAATTGTTTTCAACCTCTTTAGGCAACTACTTAATATTCAATTGGCTTTATCTCTCACTAACAAAAAATTGAATATTGTTCAGCAGATTTCGGAAAAGTGGAGCGACCAGAAGTGTTTCCCAAAATAGCTTTACAGCATGAGTTTTTGTTTGTGTTCTTTTACCTGAAAATTTTGGACAGCACCACTTGGAGTAACAAATGAGCCAGGATTTTCTCATGTGAATCATCCCAAACGCTGTATATAAGTTGCTGAAAGTTATTGCTATAGATTTTTATAAGCACTGGCAATATGGTTTGATCACCACATGCAAATTACCTAAAATACAGGCCCCACGTGGCGTGACCTTTGGTAACAAACCACTTAGACTTGACATTTTGGCTGGTCACTTGATGGGAGGTTCAACTGTATAAGCATTTTCTTGACAACTGCAATTACTGTTACATCTGAATTTATTTTTTGTAGGGAGATCTTGGTGCAATTGATGATAGATATGATGTAGCCATTAGTACAGCATGTGGAGCATTAGACAACATTGTGTGTGACAGTATTGATACTGCTCAGAAGTGTATTACCTTCCTCAAGCACAGCAACATAGGCTCTGCTACTTTCATTGGCCTTGACAAGGTACAGCAGTTTTGATTTTCTATTATTGATGTAACCTGATGCTTCACATGTCTGATATGGAGACTTGATATGAGCTAAGTTTATGCTGACATATCAACTTTTGTTAAGCTCTGTGATATGTATATATATATATATAGATATTTATATTCTCATAACTGTGTTCAAAATATGTTATAAAGAAAACAAGTCATGTTATTTTGATGCTTATGAAGACTATTTTACTCATCTCAACATAAATCACAAATTTAACTTATGTCAAATCATTGTGGTAACAATGATTTGTTGAAAAATTACCTCACTCTAAAGGTTTTATGGCCCTTGATCTATAGAGTGACTTTGAGACAGCACAAACATTTCTTTCAAACTCAGCCTCAACTTTTACATCTTGATTATGCAAATGGTCTGTTAATTGAGAACAAAACAAATTATTTTAATATGCTACTAAGTTTGTTGAGACAAACAACAATTATAATGTATAGTCAGAAAAAATCCAAGTCCCAGATGGGACTTGAACCCAGGACCCTCCGTGATCTAGTCAGATGCTCCAACCACTGAGCTACTGGAGACTCTATGGTGAGCAAGGGTCAATTTGTGGGTCTCAACTGGAACTGCATCGCATGGCTACACAGCCAAGTATTGAGCAGCGCATGCGAAACTCACTAGCAGCATCACGCTGTCACACTAAAGCATATCAAGATGTTGCCAACCAACCTCCAAAGTGAGCATGTTTGTACCATACCAAGTTTGTACTTTAGATTCTGCTTGTTATGACAGTTTCAGTCTTTTCAGACACTAATTTTTAATTGTTGAATTTGACTTTCTCACTATACAGGTAGAGAAATGGAGGAAAGATGCATTTAGTAAAATCAAAACGTAAGTTATGGAAGATTAAAAGGACACTACTTCAGGGAAATTTGAGAAAATTTTGTTTTGAGTTTCCAAAAAAAATAGACATGTATGTAAAGATATGTATCTTATTAAACCTGTTGGAGTGTAATGATGCTGATTATCGTATGTCCTAGACAGGTTGACAAGAACTGGTCCAAATAAACCCCCACCCAATTTGGAGCCAAAGCCATATCTGAGGAAGGTTAAAAGTACCAAAGGGTTCATCCCTTCCCCGTGCATTTTTTCCACCCCAAAAGTGTAACAGGTTCAAACATGATATAGTAACAGTCGAAGAAAAAATACTCTATGTGGATCATTGACTAACAGAGAACTGAAAATTGTCTTTTTCCTTGAGGTATTTTGCATTTCACTTTCACAAACCTAAAAGAACAGAAATGACTAAACCTATAGTGTGGAAAATATAGGGAAATGTACAATTCTTCATACATTTGTAACCTTACACACAAATAATTTCTTGTACCCCACAAGCCATAATTTCAGGAGGGGGGAAAAAACCATTAAGACCGGTAATATACTTTGATTTGCTCACAGACCACAGAATGTCCCACGCTTATACGACTTGGTTCAAGTGAAGAATGATCAAATACGCACTGCTTTCTTCTTTGCCCTGAGAAACACCCTTGTTGCTGATGATCTGAAGCAAGCTACAAATATAGCCTTTCAGGTAAAATTACATTATTTCCTGTTATTAGGTACTGAATGTTTGGTTTATGATAATTTAGTGTGATTGGTATGAAATAAATTCATGGCTTAGATAGAAACAGTTTGAATTCATAGGAAGTCTCAATGCCTTTCAAGACAGAGTGTGGCAAAACATTGAGGCTCAAGGGAAAACAAAAACCAAACTTT